CTTCGCATGCAATCATATAAGATGCTGAAACGAATTGTACATACAAATATTAAATAGTAATTTAGGAAATTAGTTATATATACAGTATATAGACACATGTTTATACAAATATGAAATTCTATACAAAAATTTCATCATACCAAATGTGTTCTATTAGATAATGTGTGGAAAAAACAAACTACATATTTGTATTCCTATAATTTCCCTTTTATTGCTCATACTGATTATTTTTGACTTACAATCTACACAGACATCATATATATAAATGCATAAATGAAATGCTTATAAAAGAACTAAATATCACTTAACAGATGCTCAACCTCTTGCTTGACTAGTACACAAATATTTGGCTCTTCGATTGACTTAAATGTAGACGTATTGCTTCTCATTCTCCCTCTCACTCGGCCGCTCTTTCCTTTTCTCTCCTTAGCTGCTGCTGCTCGTGGGCGGCTCATTATGTGGTCCTTGGAGAAGCGCCTGCAATTTAGCCGCTGCCGGAAAAGCTCCCAAGTCCAAGGGTGCAGCGCCCGTAGTGCTCTGTATGTAGGCCAACAGCCTGTGCAATGAGGCGAGAATGAATGTGCTTGTCAAGGTTTGCATAGGGCTTACTTACCTGCGCAGCTCCTCCAGCGCATTCTGCTGCATCAATATATAGTTCTTGGCCAGCAGCAAGGTCGCAATTTTCGAGAGTTTACGAACTGACGGTGAGTGGGCATAGGGTATAACACTGTAAAGAGACCATTGACACCATTTAGTTCCAGCTTATCCATACATCTGGCTGCAGATGAACTCAAATTTAGATTAATCTCCCGGGATCAGCTATTCAGACTTGCTCACACTTGTTATACCATGAACCCATTGAAAATGGGAAATCAGGGTATAAGGTTTTTGTGAAAAAGTAGGTAACGGGCAGAAGTAATCATAGCAGACCCTATAAAGTATATGTCTGCTTGATCAGCAGCCCTGTCCGTCTGTCCGTCCGTCCGTCCGTATGAGTGCGTCGACCTCAGAAGATACAAAAGATAGAGAGCGAGAGAGACACCATACGCAGTAAGCGTTTGCTTTATTTTTTAATAAATTATCCGATAACTTTTTATCGAGAATAATCGACAAATCGATTTGGTTTTTCATACTCATTTGTACACTTTTAGACCTGGAAGCTTCAGATTTACTGTATATATACATATGATGAATACAAACATTTTGTAATTTACAGATTTTGGATATTACGCCTCCTTCGCCACCAATTTGTAAAAAACGAATTTCAAATACATACTAGGGATTTGTGATTTGCAATGAACATACATTTGAACATTATGTTCTGAAAGTTTCATTAAGATTGTACGTCTAGAAATGAACTTATTTAACGAATAAATTCGTATAATATTGTTCACATTGCAGCGCAGCTCAAACGCATTTGCTGCTTACTGCGCAGTTAGCAGAGACCGTTTTTTTACGTGCGTGCGTGTTCAATTAAACAGTGACTGAAGATCAACGATCAAAGTTAAAGGCATAATACAGATACTGAAGAAAGAAGCAAACGCCACGCCTCAGATTCATCAAACAAGCTGATTTATTCATATTACAATATTTGCTCTTTTCTACCTGTGGTAAGCACATGAGCTTGCGCAGTTTTCTTTAGTGGGGAAAATATTTATACTGCTCGAGCAGCCGGTATATTCAAATGGTTTGCATGTTTTATCTTCCTTGTAGAAGGACCAAACGATAACAGGAGCATCCGCGCATACAAAACCAATGACATCATTTACTCCTGGCTTGTCGACACAGTTGTCTGCAGATGAATTCAAATTTAGATTCATCTCTTTGGATAAGTTACTCAGACTTACGAAACCAATCAGCGAGGGACAGGCCAAAGAGAGCGAGAAATAGGCAAAGAGCAGCTGCGAACTTCATTTTTACTGTTTGTATCGAAAGACAAACTCAAAACAACTAACCAGAAGTGCTGCAGAGCAGGATTATATACTGATCTGTGTGTGTCTGTATTAGTTAGTTTATAGATCAAGTCGAGCCCATAACTGATGCAGCAAATTGGCGAAGCAAAAGAGAATCGAATTGAATTGGATACACTATTTGGCTATAAGGAATTTCAAGGTTAAAAGATATTCCAACACATAGGCATATACATATGT